ATGATTTAAACAGTATTCATTTATTATATATATCATCAATAAAGCTATTCAATAAATGTAAAAAAAATACAGTGTGATCCTATAAGGATATATAATAATTAAATTTATTTTTCTCCCTTTTCCAACTTTTTTATTTAAAAACTTTATTATTTCCTTTATTTTAATTTTATTATTTATTTTATTTATTTTCTTATTTTTTTTATTTTTATTTTTATTTTTTGTTATTATTTTTTTGTTTTTATTTTTTTTTTAGTTTTTTTTTACTAAAAATAACCATATAATACATATGTATATTTACTATAAGATTTTTTTGTTTGTTTTTAATATTTTATATGTTTTTTATTCTTAATATAAAAGGCATTACTTTATTAATACTTTGTCCTGATTTTTTTTGTTTAAATCAACTTCAGAGTATAATTTTACCATTTTATCAAATTGTAAAAAACTACATTTAGAAGATGTTTAAAAATTTTATTATTTAGTTTTTTATAAAATCATATGTAATAATTGGTATTTTTATATTTTATCATTATAAAGTAGCATCAAGAAATTGACTTATTAGCAGGGGAGCTGCCATTCGATTCATTCATTATGTTATAAGATAATAAGAACCATCTAAAAGAGAAAACCAAATAGTAAAGCTTTATTCACTAATAAATTATTATTTAAAAAAAAATTATTATTAAAAAAAAAAATCTATATAACTAAAAAAATTTCTGATGTTTGGATTAGTCTTCGTATAAATAATTTGAATTGTGCAATTTGAAATCCCATGCCATATAATTAAAACCCGTGACAAGCCTTCGCCTGATCTATTTATGGTCAAAAACTATTCGATCCGTGTGCATTCCAATCAACTAATCCAATTTCAGTTAATAAAATTTTCCTTTTTTTTGGAAATTTCCCTTTTTTTCAAACTGATTTCCTTTCTTTATTCTTTTTCTTCCCCCAAATTTTTTTATTATATTAAATATATTTACAAAATTATTATTTTTTTAAAAAAAATCAATATAACAAACATATCAGATATAGGAAAATTGACCAACACAAGTAAGATTTTTTCAATTAAATTAAACGCTGGATAAATAGTTTGATTTTCAAATTCATAAAAATCAATTAATTATAAAATATATAAAAATGTCAATTTTTTTTGAAGAAATTGTTGATTTAATAATAGATTATTATAACCAAATCCATATCCAAAATTGTCTAAATAACTATAAGATTTTTGAATAAAGATTTTAATTCAAATGGTTTAGTTAAATTAAGTACCAAAAGAATAATAATAAATGAAATGAATAGATTCTAATACATTTAATTATTCAAATATTTTTTTTAAGTTGGTTATAAGTTTAAGATTGATGTAATATAAATTAAGAAATAATTATAAAATTTATAATTAATTAAAAAAAAATATTTGTAGTATTTTCATAATATTAAAGTTTTTCAAAAATATTTCTAAAAAATTAATCAAAAAAATGAGGGTGAATGAAAAAATAGGGAGATAAAAGGATAAAAGAAACGAAGGAGAGTGAGGGAGAAATGAAATGGAGCAAAGGGTGAGTGAAAGAAATAAAAGGAACGAAAAAGATCAAGTGGGAATGAAAAAAAATGAAAAAAATGGAGGGACGAAATGGAGCAAAGGGAAATAAAAAAAAATGAAAGGAACAAAGGGTAATGTAAAAAGAAGTGGAAATGGGAAAAAAATGAAAATGACAGAGGATAGTGTAAAGGAACAAAAAAGATGAAACGGGAATGGAATAAAAATGAAAGGAACAAAGGGTAGTGTAAAGGAATGAAAAGACGGAGAAACAAAGAGGAAATAAAAATAACAGAAAAAACGAAGGAAGGAAGAATAAAAAGAGCAAAAAAAATGAAGAAACAAAAAGAAAACAAAAAATGGAGAAGGGACGGAAATGAGATAAACAGTAAAAACAAAACCCATAAATTAAAAGAAGAAATAAAGTTAGTAGGAAACGGAAATTACATGTAATAAATAAACAAAAACAAAAAAATAAAAAACATACCTTAGTAGTTATAAAGAAGAATCGAAAGACCTAAAAAGAATGAATTCAAAATGTAAAATGATCAGCACATTAATTTAGCCAATAAAATTTAATGTGAAAAATTATTAAATCGCCCAGGGTGAAAATACACTCAAACGTCGAATCATTAATATAAACTATATTATTCTAAATATAATTTATATCATTCTAATATTATAAATATAATTTAATACATGTTATTTATTATTTTTTGTTAACTAATTATTACCATATTAAATTCCTAATTATAAACAAAAAACTACTGTAACCATCTTTAATTTACTTAGTATTGCATTACATTATAATACTAAATTTTTCTATTTAATAAACAAACTGGTGTATGACTGCTAGTAATAAACTAATACTAAATTGTACTATAATCTAGATTTTTTGAAGATATAATAATATTATTAAAAGATTAATCACTTTTTTAAGAACGATAAATCAGCTGTAAAATAGTGATATAGTGATCTGCAAATTCGTATACCTGTCTCTTATACACATCTAGATGTGTATAAGAGACAGTTATAGGACCCCGAACAATATATATAAAGGTAGGTTTTGAGTTTGCTTAACCAACATATAAAAATTTTTCCTATGTGAGATTTATTATTGCTTATTTGATAACATAATTTTTAAATAGTCAGATATAATTATGCATAGCAGAGTATTAAATTATTAATAGTCAGATATATATTTGCGTAGCAGGATAGAATTTTTTAATATATATATATAATATAATATATATTTATTTTCACATTAAAAAAATCTAATAAAAATATGTAAACAAAGTTATAAACATGTTTGTATAAAAAAAATTTACTATTTTTAATACAAAGAATAAGTTAATTGTATACGTAATATAGGGAACATTTTTAGACGTGATCGTGTAACGTGTTTTTGATAAAACAAATACGCATCCGCGTAACATTAAAATTATAAATCATATACGCGTCCGTGTAACATTTAAAAAATATATATTGAAAATAAGAGCAAGAAAAATAAGTGTTTTTCTGTTTTTTTATAATTTTACACTATAATTTTTGTAATAATCAATAAAAGTTATTTCATTTTTACTTAGAAAATTTTTTAAAAATATTTTTTTTGACAAATTTTACAGTAAATTTTAAAAATAAAAATTCCGCGTATTGGTGGCGTTACAAAAAACATGAATAAATCCATAAATATCTATTCAATCATGATAAAAATTTATATGTAAGTAGATTCGAACCTGCTGAACAACTTTACTTAAGAAGGTTTTGGATGTTTCCTTTGACTAAAGTGCCCAAATTACGCTCCGAAGTCACAGAACAGATATACGAAATATTATCGCCGTTTTTGAATTACTGTAAACTGCGGCTTGTCGATCATTTTATAAATAAATTATCAAAAACTGCGAAAACAGCAAATAGCCAATAAAATTGATTTTTAATTCGTATTACCTATAATCCTATATCACTATAAATGGCGCAGTATGCCATACGCGTGATAAATTAAATATTAAAATGAACAAATATCTTCCTGGTATTTGCTTCGCGTGTCAGAAATGTCTGTTTTGCTTTAATTTTTCACCTTGTAACTGTAATAAAAACATAAAACCAACAAGAGTAAGCAAACCAGAACGTGGACAGCAAATTTATTTTCGTGTATATACTCCAAACGAAAATTTACCAACAGCAAATTACTTTCTTTCTTCTGCCGAGACGAAATTTCAATATAATAATAATTTTAATGAGCCTTTTTCTTTTACTTTTTGTTCTACATGTAATAGCAAATATCAAAGGTTGAAAACTAAAGACAAAATTTCTAAAAAAAAAATGAAAAGTAAAGCTGCAGTTGACGTTGAGTCTCTTGAATTATTTGAAGAATGTGGTATTGATGAAATCAAACTACATGTAAGCATTGAAAAAAAGGGTAAGAAAACCTCTACTTCTAAGGCTCTAATTATTAAACCAGTTGAATATATCAATGTTATGGAAAAGATCAATGCTTTTGTACAAAAAGCACTTCAAAATGAGAATATCAAACCAGCAGATTACAGTATATCATATAAAGCAATGAATTCACATGGTCTTTCAAGTGAATTAGAAGATGAACTTGATTTTAAAGAGTTTATTGAAGATTATAAGAAAGTTACTACAGCTAATAAAAAAATGGGAATGATGGTAGTGATTGATAATTCTACAGATAATGAAACAAAATCAAGTGAAAAGCGTTCAAAGGTAAGGAAATTGCAATTACTCTTATTATTTTACATATTCAATATTCTAACTTGACGTAATTTTTTAAAATTTTTAGAATTCTGATGATGTTGAAAGTGATGGATCAGTTTCTGAGGAAGAAAAGGTAATAACACATACTAAAAAGAAGAAAAAATCTCGTGTTATTAGAGATGATGATTTATCAAAAGAAGAAAGAACACAAGCAGAAATAATTTCTGTATTATGCGAAAAATACAAGTGTAATTTACATACAACACCATGTTATATTCAAGATAATCGTCATTTACAGCTTAATCCAGCAAGATTACAACTTTGGGCACGAGAAATTGTAAGTTATCTGCAATAAAATTGATTTTTATTTGGATATTCACAAAATTTAATTATTACTATAGATGAATAAAGGTACTACCGAAGACGTTCCACCAACTTATCCCACATTTAGTGCAACATTAGGCGTGTTAGTTAGCAATAATAATACTCAAATATCCACTACTGCACCTGCTACTGCATCCACTACTACATCTGCTACTGCAGTACCTGCTGCTGCATCAGCTGTCCCACCTGCTAATACACCTACACCTATTATTATTCAAATGCCACCATTTCAATATCCTTATCCTTCTTTTAATCAATTAGATACATCTACAAATCACAAATTACCTTCAATTCATGAATTTCTTTTTAGTTTAGATCAAAAATACAATTGTAATGGTGAATATTCTCAATTTGAAAATGCTTTTCTTGAAGAAGCAATAACTGTAAATGTTATAAAAGACTTATCTGATGAACAAATGAAAACATTAGGTATTGTAAAAATTGGGTGGCAAAAAAATATTAGACAAGAAGCACAAAAATATTGACGTGTATATTCAAAAATAAAGTATAATAAAATATGGTTATTGAGTTTACAAATAAATTGATGATGTAAAAAATGATTGTGCCATTTGAGGAGTAATTTGACTACATGCAACTAATAAAGCATATATTGAATCATCACAAACCTCCATAAAATCACGATTACGTTTAATCCATAATTTGATAGTTGAAAATGCTGTTTCAATTGGGTTATAATCAGGAGAATAAGGTGGAAGAAAAACTACACGGCATCCTAATCCTTCCATCAATGAAATAAGTTCAGCATCATGATGTATTCTAGCATTATCCATTATAATTACGCTATTATCACCAGGATATGGATTCATCACAGGCACCTATATTGACAATAAATTTTATAAATAATAAAATATAAATAATAAAATACAAAATAAAGTTCTATATAAACGTAATATTACATACTACTTGATTAAGCACAAAATCAACAAATCTTTTTCTATCACATGCTCCTTCAAATACATCAACAGCAATAAATCCATCTAATGTAAGAGCAGGTAAGATTGTATATCGTTTTCCTCGTACAAATACTACTTTCTTACATGCACGTGTATTGCGAGGAGAATACCCATATAATCTTGATAAGCTTCTCTCATCCTTAGCACATTCATCAAGAAAAATCAACTGATTTGAAGTATAATGTTCGCCAATTACACCTAAATAATGTGTACGCATAAGTTCACTTCTTTCATATGCTGCTTTTTGCAACTTTTGTAAAAAAAATAAATATAATTATTGAGTATTTCAATTTTCTAATTGATTTCATTATTAAAATTGATTATTTCAATACCTTTTTTCGAGTAATTCCTAAATAATAAAGTGATCTCCAAAGTGCTGAAACAGAAACTCTTTTACCTGTAAGATTTTCCATCTCATAAACAAACTCATCTAAATACCAGTCAACTTTGTCTTTTACAAGATTTTGGAATATACACATTTCGCTTCTACTAAATAGTTTTCTTCTGCCAGGAACTCCTTTAACTGGACTGGTAACACACGCCCATTTTACATATAAATTTATTATTTTGATCACAAAGCTCTTACTAACATACAATGTGTTAGCAATATCTGTGATAGAAAAATCATCATTATAAAGATACACAACACGCCAACGTAAATCTTCGCTAATTTCTGTAGGCATAGGGCTTTCTACTAATATTCCAGACACATATTTTAGTTGAATAAACTAATAATTACAATATATAGCATAAAACTTATTACCATACCTAATGTAGATTCAGTAGAAATCTGGAAAAACGAAATAGAGATCTGAGAAAAGAAAAAGAAAAATATAAATATTATGACTCTATTATTTGTATTACATAACATTTGCGTACAATATTTCTATTGAATAAACAATACAATTGCAGATTTCGCAATATATAATGTAAAATCGTTACTATACCAAGTGTTGAATCGTCAGAAATCTTCCAGTAAAACAGAACGAAAGACCGAAAAAACACTTGAAAGTGATACAAGAATAGCTAAGTGTTATGCAGATCAAAAAATATTTATATGTTTATATGTGAAACGTAAAGTTTTACTAGTACAGTTTTACAAAAATCACACATTTTCGGTTTATTTATAAAATGATCGACAAGCCGCAGTTTACAGTAATTCGAAAACGGCGATAATAGCAAGTTATTTTTAATTCTATTATTACTTATTTATATAATAACTACAAATGTGATAAGTTATTTATTTAATTCTATAATTACTTTATTTATATAATGTTTACATATAATTTAAACTAACTAAATTCTTTATTTAATAGATCGTAAGTTATAAGTTATTTATTATTTCTTATTTATATAATATTTACATGTAATTTAACTAAATTCTTTATTTAAAAAATTATTTATTTATTATTTAATTCTATTATTACTTATTTATATAATACTTACACATAATTTAAACTAATTAAATTCTTTATTTGAAAATTATTTTGTAATTTCTTTTAGCTGGTAAGATAAGTTATTTATTATTGCTTTATTTATATAATATTTACATATATTTTAAGCTAACTAAAAATTATTTAATAATATATATAGGGAGTAAGTTATTTATTTATTTCTATTAATAGTTTAAACTAACTAAAATTAACCATGATAAAAAATGTTATTTTAACGTTACTTTAATGTTTTTTTTAAATTAAGGCCTGACCAATTAAATTATGTGTTTTACATAACCCCCCCCTCCCTGTTTTCATGATCGACACCCAATATTATACAATTTCTGTAACCAATAGTATGTAGTCTTGTGATTTTGGTCTTGTGATTGTGGATATAAAAAAAAGATATTCAGATAATCTACTTGCACGAAATATCCCGTAATGGAATTATTTCTCGTTATTTCTTTTAGATTTATATATTGTCAACATGGCAAATATTCGTGTCTGTGGCTGGATTTCTTATAATTAATATAATAATTAATATAATAAATATGTTGTATCTTATAGTAACAGTTAATGAAGGTATTCATTCTGTACTTCCTGAACAAATAGTTACAATTGCAGAAAATAAACAGTTTTCAGAGTTATATGAAGCATTTACTTCTGGTCAATTTAATAACCAAGGTGTCAAAGTTTATGTACGTCAAAATAAGGTTGACAAATGGGTAGAAGTAAGTGACGGTTTAAGTGGTGACCTTACAATTATGAAGGTTTTAGGATATAATCATGTAAAATTTACACTTCTCGTAGAACCTGTAGCAGAAGATATAGAGCCACCTATAAACTTCCCTGACACGTTTGACATCATGATGAGAAATGCACGACAACCAAAACTTCCACAGAAACGTACTGAACATACTAGGCATGATTTATTATATAATGAAATTATTGATCTTTTACGCAATCAAAAAGCTGGTTGGAAGGGAGGTATTCATCAAACATTAGGAAAGGAATTTATAGAACGTATTGTGAATGTTCTCTGGTATATTGATCCATATTTAGAGCTATTATGTTCTCGTTCCTGCCATCTGCCTGCGCTGTTTAAAAAATTGGCAACATACGCAAGTGATGATCCTGATAGAAATGTATACAATATTGCATATCGTACTAGTCATCATAAAAAAGAACCTATTTCGCGTCAAAAACTGGATCTTTTAATTAAATCATTAGAATTATCTGTAGGACAACCTTGGGTGAATGATAATGAATGGAATAATATCATTCCTGCTGTAATTGCCTTGATAGAAATGATGCGAAAATATTGTGAACATCTTGTAAAAAGCCAAATAACAATGACTGCTATTCACCATAATGATGAATCAGCACGCAATCCAGTAAATAATGCTTGTTTATTTCGTGTACTTGGCTGTAAGGAAGATCATCTGGACGAACAATATCAAGAGTTAAATGATACTATTTTACAAAGTGGGTTTTACCATTATACCGATGTTTATTCTTATCTTCCTACAGATGTTATGAAACGTTATCGATATCTTAAAAATCTCCAGTTAACTTGTCCGATTGGAATTTATAGGTAACAAAGTCATAATTATTATCATTTGCTTATTTAATTAATGCTAATGTAATTTTTTTTAGATATGCACAAGGGAATTATCTTGGTACAATAATGTATATATGGAGAATACCAGAATCTGAAGTAACTGATGAATTCCAAGATGAGACTGAAAAAGTTCGTATGTTAGCCAAAATTCACGAAGGATTGCCTAAGTACTTTACTCGGCAGATGAAAAAGAATGTTCTTAATAAGGTTCAGTTAATTTATTTGCGAGTCTACAAATGCGTGGGTAGTTTATGCATAATTTAACACTAGAAACTGATAAAATTCAAAATAATATTCTAAATAATTTATATTTATATTATTTATGCAGTATTCTTTAATAAAAACAGTTACCCCTGCTGTGTTGCGAATGCTATACTTCGATCTTACTGGTAATGCAGCTGTTACAACAAATATTATTAGTCGCGAAGTTGAAGAAAGATTACGTTTAATGCTAGCACTTGAAGATCCATCAATAATATTTGACTTACGAGCAAATAATGGATTTAAAGGAACAAAGTTTGATGCATTCTGGGAAGAATTAGATATGTACTTTAATGAGGTATTATTTTATTTATATTAATTAGCTTTTTATTATCAAAATATAACCTACAATATAAAATTTGAATTATATAGGAAACACCAGCTGTAGATGACCGACGACACAACACAATCATGCATATGCCTTTGGCAATTTCCATACGTGATCTTTATGATATAATTTTGGCAAGACTACGTATCAAATATGGTGATCCTCTTCCAGTTTCAATTTACACGCCATCGTATGAATGGATTCGATTACAATTTTGGCCAACAAATCCTGTGACAATAAAAGCTGTGCAATATACAGGAAGATATCAAGTTAAATTCAAGGTGCAAGGCAGACTTCTTCGCAAAGAAAGTGTGGATGCTCATTACTGTGCAGCACTTTTTCGTTATTTACGTGAATTTTCAATACAATATCGACAATGGGTATGTTTTATATCAGCTGATGACAAGCATAAGGTCCCTATTGGAGAGGGAGTTCCTGTTTCTACTGGAGTACGCAATCGTCAATCATTAGCTGCACAAAATAATGTTTTAGGCGCAGCTGATCATGATTTTACTAAACTTTCATTAACACCCTCGGTCATTTTTCTGGTCTCAATTCCAAAAGACATATCAGGTGGATTTTATTGTGGCGAGGTTTTTTTATCTTTTAAAGACACTGTTTTTGAACCAAGTAGTGCTATTCGGCATACAACTGAATTTCATAATGTCATCAATACAAAATATGCACATCGTACTTCACCACCAATTTTGTGTCTTTATACTGACGGAGGACCAGATCACAGATGCACTTATGGTTCAGTTCAAGTTGCTTTGATTAGTCTCTTTTTAAGTGGAAATTATGATATGATTATTGCAGTACGGACAGCACCTCACCATAGTTGGACAAACCCAGCAGAAAGAATAATGAGCATTTTAAATTTAGGGCTTCAAAATGTGGCAATTAAGCGAAATACAATGAGCGAAGAATCAGAAGCACTTTTTGATAAGGTTAACACACTTGATGAAATTCGCGAAAAAGCAAATAAAAATCCTAATTTAGAAAAGGAATTACAAGAATGTATTAAAGATGTTCAAAATTTATTGCATAGCCGTTCTGAAAGATTGATTTTAAAAGATCAATATTTTAAATGTTATGATGCTGCAAGTGAGCATGATATTAATGGCTTATTTGAGGTATAAAAAATGTATTGATTTAATTTTATCCCCTATATACTTACAAACTCATACTCTAACTCTATAGTCTATGTCAAAGATCGATCCTTCATTAACTCGTAATGATACCACACAAGTTCAATTAATGCATCATAAAGAATTGATCAAATTCATGAAAACTCATTGTCAAGAACGTGCTTATTCTTTTCAAGTATGTTTTTTATAAATATACAGATTATTTAAATTCAATACTGTCTTATTGTTATATTTTTTTAGATAAAGAAGTGTCAAGATTTATTATGTGGTATTTGTGCACCAATACGCCTCCCACAAACTGTCTTTGACAGTTTACATTTCTTACCTGATCCAATTCCAAAAGGTATGTTACAATCATATTTTTTTTCGCGTTAATAATTTTTTCTCATTTATAAAATCTATTAGATAATACAGATCACTACTCTTCATTTCGTACCGTCTATGGAACAGAAACTAGTGAAGAATTTCGTCCATCAATGCAACTTAATCAAGCCAATGCAGAGCCTGCACCAAAAAGTGTACTAGTTAGTGGAAAAATTCGTGATTACATTACATGTTGTGATTGTGGAAAACGGCGCTGTGTTTATAGTGATAAAGCATTAAGCCAAGAGGAGATACGGGATTTTAATCAAGCTTTGGACACATATGATTATTCTTGTGGTGCACCTCTCTTTCCTGATGATCATTATTTGATAGAAATTTTGTTTGTTCGTGTAAAAATATCTTGTGATACCCCTGTAGAAATTCTTTACTATTCTAGCCGAAAATCAGGAAATTTCGATATATGCTATTATTGTGGTACAGATAGTGATTTAATTGATCCGCCTAGTACATTAACGGTTAGATATAAGATAATATATCCATTGTGTCAAAAGTGCCAGGATAAAGGCAAGGAATTTAGTACTCGTTCAGAGATCAAGGTAAATAGTAGTAAGCGAAGAAAGACAAGTTAAATTAGATTAGAACACTTTTCTTATTGCGGTAAAATTGTAAATACAGATTTTATTAATAATTCATGCAATTTTATTTTTGAAAATGGGTTTTATATATGAAAAACGGAAGTATTCTATCATAAAAATTAATCTTTACATGTTTTTATAGCACAATAAACTTTAATAAACCAGTTCGCATATTATTCATATTTGTATTTTATTTATCCCCCCCCCCTCCCGGATTTGATTTTCTATGTTATGTAAAACATAAAATTAAGTTGGTCAGGCCTAACTATGATAAAAAAAATGGTATATAACGTTAAATAACGTTATTTTAACATGTTTTATAATAAAAAATG